GCTATATCAAAGGGCAGTGTCTCGTTTCGGGAAACAGTTACCCGACACGGTTTTATACGGTGTCTACGGGGAATTTTTGGCCGAGCGTACGGGCTCGGATACCCCACAGCAGTTGACTACTACTTCTACGCGCCGCTAGAGAATCTTATATGTGTTGTTCTTGTCCTAAGTATTATCACTCATTACCAACTTCCGTGTGATTATTCGGTTCAGGAACCTTCTTTAGGTTACAGCATAGACTAATTTAAATTTCCAGGAAGTTTCTCATTTTATAAAAATTGATAGCATTTTTATTCAGCCGTCAAAATATTCTGCTTTATGTTCTCTCTGTTTACGCAATCTTACAGCCAGATTGCATATTCTGTCATAAAAAAAAATGATTTTTTTTTTGTTAGAATTATTCTTCGTAGAATTTTGAATTATTATTTATAGTATATTCCCTTCCTTCTCTGGTAGCTGCATTTAATTTTTTTATAGTAAGGTTATCCCAGTACAAAGCCCGAGGGACACTCAAGGTAGAAGGTTACGTTAAGGGGTAGTTTATACAGATAGGAGGAGAAGATAACGGTTAACTTTAGACTTCAACATTGTAGTGATCGGGGAAACATCCTCTTGGAAGGCTAGTCCACAGAGCTGTGGTTCACGGGAAGAAGCTTTTTGCGTGGAACTTACTTCTCACATATGGAATACGGAGAGAATGTGGGTGGTTTGCTACTATTTAAGCGGCATGGCGGATCCTTGCCGTGAAAGTTAGACCTGGCGGAACTAAGGAATGTAGCTCATCCGAGCACTTTCCAGGATAGTAACGATAGAGCAATGAAAGGTTCGCTACATTCCGCCTGTGAGAGAGAGGTTTGGGGGTGGAGAATAATTCTTCTTCAACAAGGACTCGGAGACGCATTTGTAATCTATCAAAACTGGAATGTGAGGACTGGACATCTCCCGCCCAAATCTGTCAGCAGTACTCCGATTTGGGCCTAATCTGGCTCCTATGAAATTTGAAACTCTAAACTGGACATAGTTCTTGTTGAGTGACGTATTACTGAAGTGAGAAGCATTTTGGGGAATCGTATATGATACCCGCTCCGCGAGTCAGATTCCTGCTTTTCAAGCGGACCTAAACTTGTTTCAAATATTTCATTTTCGCTTCTAGTTGCTATTAATCCCACAAACATTCTCCGCCAAGAATGTTATTCAAATTGTTGGATTTACTCGCTAATCAAACGTGAAAAATCTGCAGAACGATAATTTGTAACGGCTCATTTCGCAACAGGTGGACGAACATTCAGCAAAATTTCAAGAACACAGATTTCAAGAAAAACACATATTTCGAGAAAAACACTTATTTTAAGAACACATATTTCGACAAAAACACTTATTTTGAGAAAAACACATATTTCGAGAAAAACACCCATTTGGAGAACACATATGTCGAGAAAAATACATATTTCGAGAAAAACACATATTTCGAGAACACATATTTCGAGAAAAACACAAATTTGGAGAACATATGTCGAGAAAAATACATATTTCGAGAAAACACATATTTCGAAAACACATATTTCGAGAAAAACACATATTTCGAGAAAAACAATGAAAAAAAATTTTGAGAAACATATTTCGAGAAAACACATATTTCGAGAAAAACACATATTTCGAAAACACATATTTCGAGAAAAAAAATTTGGAGAACATATATTTTGAGAAAAAACATATTTCGAAAAACACATATTTCGAGAAAAACATATTTCGAGAAAAAAAACATATTTCGAGAAAAATACATATTTCGAGAAAAAACATATTTGGGAAACACATATTTCAAGAGAAAAAAAAATACATATTTCGAGAAAAAACACATATTTCGAGAAAAACACATATTTCGAGAAAAATTTCGAGAAAAACACTTATTTTGAGAACATATTTCGAGAAAAAAAATTTACATATGTCGAGAAAAATACATATTTCGAGAAAAACACATATTTCGAGAACATATATTTCGAGAAAATTTGGAGAATATATTTCGAGAAAAAACATATTTACATATTTCGAAAAACACATATTTCGAGAAAAACACATATTTCGAGAAAAACTCATATTTTATGAAAAAAACATATTTCGAGAACACATATTTCGAGAAAAACACATATTTCGAGAAAAAACACATATTTCGAGAACACATATTTCGAGAAAAACACATATTTGGAGAACACATATTTCGAGAAAAATACATATTTCGAGAAAAACACATATTTCGAGAACACATATTTCGAGAAAAACACAAATTTGGAGAACATATTTCGAGAAAAATACATATTTCGAGAAAAACACATATTTCGAAAACACATATTTCAAGAAAAACACATATTAAAAAAAACTCATATTTTGTGAAAATCACATATTTCGAGAACACATATTTCGAGAAAAACATATTTTGAGAAAACACATATTTCGAGAACACATATTTCGAGAAAAACACACATTTGGAAAACACTTATTTCGAGAAAAACACACATTTCGAGAAAAACACATATTTCGAGAAAAACACATATTTCGTGAAAAACATATATTTCGAGTACACATATTTCGAGAAAAACACATATTTCGATAAAAACACATATTTTGAGAACAAATATTTCGAGAAAAACACATATTTCGAGAAAAAACACTTATTTTGAGAAAAACACATATTTCGAGAAAAAAACATATTTCGAGAAAAACAGATATTTCGGGAAGAACACATATTTCGAAAAGAAGTATTCCTTTACCAGTATTCCTATCGAAAGAACTGGCTGATTCTTCTGTCTCTTTTAATCTTTGCTGTATCTTCCACGAAAATGACTTCTAATTCATCAGTTTTAACATTCAGCAGATTTCTACAGACCTTGTTTGTTGAACACATTCTTTTAAAAGTGAGTAAAATTAGGAAGACAGATGAGAGAGGACAAGAAACAGAGTCAAAATTGTATTTTATATTAAACTGATTTGTATCGTAACACTTTTCCGCAAATACTTCAAGTGTATGTAGATAAAATAAGGAGCTGAGTAAGATTAACGGATATTTCGAAAATATCTTTGACGTTATATGATCCCGAGAAAGTTCGCATCAAACTAATATATACACGTATAATCATGAACGCATACATATCTATCTATCTATTCTTGCCGGTAAATATCTATCTATCTATCTATCTATCTATCTATCTATCTATTTTGGTTTGTTCATTATCATTCTATCTATCTATCTATCTTCTGTGTTCATATCTATTTATCTGTCTATCTATCTCGGTTTGTTCATTATCTATCTATCTATATACAGTGGGGGAAATAAATATTCGTACACATGAAAAATTGTATTTTTATAAATGTAAACGCCTTAACTAAAACAAATTTTGATACATTTTATGTGTAAAGACACATTTTATTAAAATATAGTAATTAACTGAATTAATTCTTATTCTAACAGAAATTAATGCATTTTTTTTTTCATTTTAACTGATGAAAAAAAGTATTCGTACAAAACAAAAAAAGCATATTAACTTAATTTAATACTTTCTGGAATATCCTTTATTGAGTTCAACAGCTACCAGTCTATTCCTGTACGTCTCAACTGATGATTTGCACACATTGAGTGGTATTTTGTCCCATTCTTCTTGGCATATTGTCTTCAAATTCTTGATATTTGTTGGTGCTCTTTTCCCAATTTGAATTTTCAAATATCGCCATAAATTCTCGATTGGATTCAAGTCTGGGGACTGACTTGGCCATTATAAGACATCAACGTTACTTTCAACTAACCATTTCCTTGTAGATCTAGCGGTATGCTTAGGATCATTATCCAGTTGGAAAACCCAATCAGGAGGTAGCCAAAGTCTCTCAACAGAATGCATTACATTGTCTTGCAGGATTTTCTGGTAGCTTTCGGCATTCATCTTGCCATCTATTATTGATATTCTGCCAACACCTTTTGCCGAAAAACAGCCCCAGATCATGATACTACCACCACCAAACTTTACAGTTGGCAACGTGTCCTTTGGTAAGTAGGCTTCACCGTCCTTCCTCCACACATGATTTCGATAATTATGACCAAACAACTCTATTTTAGTTTCATCTGTCCATAGTACTTTTTCCCAAGACGAATATTCTTTATCCTTATGCTCTCTAACGAATTTTATCCTAGCATCTCTGTGTCGTTTCAAGAGGAGTGGAGTCTTCCTTGAGATGCGTGATTTCAGACTGTTTTTGTGTAGTTCATTAATTATTGCACGCTTGGTTAATTTAATCCCTAATGCACGCAGATGTTCCTGCAGCTCTTCTCGGGTAACCTGTGGATTTTGTTGGATCTGGCGTCCTAATATCCTTGCTAATCTTAGAGAAATCTTCCTCGGAGCACCTGTTCGTCTTTGGTTTTCGACACTGTTACCAGTTTTAAACCTTGCAATGAATGAAGCAACTGTAGTAAAAGGAATATACAGGTTGTTAGAAATCGTTCTGTAACTGTTCCCATCTTTCCAAAGAGACAAAATGTGTTGTTTTTGTAAAATAGTCAATTCTTTACCTTTAGGCATTATTAGAACCTTCTCGTAAGATAGAAATTGCAGAATGCTCTGATAATGGCTAATAGCGTTAACTATAATTACTAATAACATTACTTGAACATTCTAGAATATACTTTTTCATAATTAATTAATTATTTTATTCTAATAATTGATTTGTACGAATACTTTTTTCGCCAGTTAGAATTTAAAAAAATGCATTAATTTCTGTTAGAATAAGAATTAATTAAGTTTATTATTATTTTTTAATAGTATGTGTCTTTATACATAAAATGTGCCGAGATTTGTTTTATTTAAGGCTTTTTACATTTATAAAAATACAATTTTTCAAGTGTACGAATATTTATTTTCTCCCCACTGTATATATATATATATATATATATATATATATATATATATATATATATATATATATATATATTCTTGTCTGTTAATATCTATCTGTCTATGCCTGTTCATATCAATCTATTTATATATCTCGGTTTATCATTATCTATCTATCTATCTATCTATCTATCTATCTATGCTTGCCTGTTGATATCTATCTATCTATCTATCTATCTATATGTCGGTTTCTTTCTAGCTAGCTGTATCTGTGTGTTAACCTGTGCTTGTCTATGTGTGCGTGCGAATATTGAGGCGTTTAATGTATGTGTGAAATGCTCTGGCGATATGAGACATTTCTTTTGTTACTCTGTCGAGTTTAAATGGGAATTTCTTTTTATAGTCCGTTCTCATTATCTCCCCCATGTTCGGAATACAATTCCAAACGTCTTCAAACATCTCCGTGTTGTGTGCTTACGCAGAAAACCGTGTACAACGCATTTGTTTCCACGACGCTCTTCTTCTTTTTCCTCTTCTCTTTATTCTGTCCCGTGTCGATATGATCTTCATCACATTCGTCCGTCTCGCTCGACATATGTACATATGTGTCCCTATATGTTTTAGTCGATATAATATTCAAATATGGGAATCTACGAGAGGCATTTTAAAGTATTTGCGATATTTAGACAGCGACAGCTAACTGGAAGTAGTACGGAGTTTTGCCGTTACTATTTATGAGCAGTAACTTTAGGAGGCACGGTGGAGTAATGGACATCGGCTTGAATTGAGGAATCGGTGAGCTGAGTTCGAATTCCAGTCGAATTCATTACATTCACTTACGTGCTAATACCCTTGGGAAAGGTGTGAATCCTCTTCTTCTCCCTCCAGCTATTGGTAAATAGCAGGACAGAATGGGTTCTATAGCCTTAGATGGCAATTGGTCTACTGCAGAAAGTAATGGCAACCTACTGCAGGAAAAAATCTGCCTCGTCAGTCATGTATCGAAAGATAAATGATCGCCTAAGCGTGTATCACGCATGGCACATAACTGACTGAATAGCGGCTCGAATTGAGGAATCGGAGAGCCGAGTTCGAATTCCAGTCGAATCCATTACATTCGCTTACGTGCTAATAACCTTGGGAAAAGTATGAATCCTCTTCTTTTCCCCCCAGCTATGGATAAATAGCAGGACAAACTGGGTTCTATAGCCTTGAATGGCAAATGATCTACTGCAGAAAGAAATGGCAACCTACTGCGGGAAAAAATCTGCCTGGTCAGTCATGAAGGATATATGATCGCCTATCACGCATAGCACATAACTGACTGAATAGTGGCTTGGATTGAGGAATCGGAGAGCCGAGTTCGAATTCCAGTCGAATCCATTACATTCACTTACGTGCTAATACTCTTAGGAATCCTCCTCACCCCCACCCCCGTCAGCTATGGGTAAATAGCAGGACAGGCCGAGTTCTACATCCTTAGATGGCAACTGGTCTACCGCAGAAAGTAATGGCAACCTATTGCGGGGAAAAAATCTGCCTCGTCAGTCATGCCTCGAAAGAGCGTATCACGCATGTCACATGACTGACTGAACTTTAGTGAGGCTGAATAAGTCGCCTACATGAACTTAAGCGTGCTACTAGATTGGCAGTTAGGTCTCATCATTTTACTGTTGAACTAGCTAGATGCTATCGCCACTTTCTATGTTTCTTTTCTCTCACTTCTCATCTGTTTCTTGGAAAGAACATACATCTGTGTTATATACTGCTACTCTGGTCCTGTGCCGAGCCACATATTCCGTTGTTATGATTAGGTCTTTGGTAATCAACTCTAGGCTCACCACCTCTATACAAAAGAAAATATACAACTATATCAGTGCTTCGATGGTTCTGTTTTGTAATACTCATGTAATATTTCCGGGTGGAAGCGGTGATATCTTTTGTGGTGTCCCGTTTTTATAATCAGACCGTCGGATCTAATCTACGAGAAATATTTCTATAATATTTATCGTTTGTTTCCAAACTTGTGCTAATTCTGATATCAATATGAAGATCCTTTTTGACTTTGGTTTCTTGGACAGAACATAGATCAATGTTATAACAATCAATGTCCCGAGCAAATGATACGTCCAACAACAATGATCGGCATTTTCTGGCCGTAAAATTTCAAACAGTTGGGGATGGAGACAAAGGCCAACAGATCGAACATAATAGCGAAGCTTCATACCCCGTTCAGGTTGTCAGAGGTAGCACCTTGGATTTTGCCATACCGACTTAGGCATCTAGGTGTTCTCCTACCCCATGAAATGGGATCTCTTATACTTCGATACAAGCAAGATATTCGGTTCTTACGATTAGATCTTTAATAATCAACACTCGGCTCGCCACCTCTAACAAAAGAAAATATACAACTATACCAGTACTTCCATGGTTCTGTTTTGTAATGATCATGTTCTAATCGGTACTTTCGCTTGGAAGTGGTGATATCCTTTCAGGTGCCCCGTTTTTATAATGAGACCTTCTGATCTACTTTACGAGAAACATTTCCATGATATTTATAGTTTGTTTCCAAACTTGTGCTGACTCCGATATCAATATGAAGATCCTTTTTGACTTTGGTTTCTTGGAAAGAACAAACAACAATGTTATAACAATCAATGTCCCGAGCAAATGATTCCTGATCGTTCTTTCGTCATGGGTCGTCTCATATTAAATGCCCGGATCGTAAAATATTTATATGCAATTGAAGGCATTTACAAAGAAGTTGCCAACTTTTGATGGTTAATAACCTTAGAAGTCATTACCTTCTTTGACTATTTTTAATACCTGTATCCGAACAAATTTAAGTATGCTTATGTCATGATTAAGTAAGCTTACCTCTTAAAATAACGTATTTTAAAGAAAAATAAAATAATTTAACGAGGTAAAATAATGTCATTTAAGGAAAATATTATAAAGAAGAGGAGGAGGAGGAAGCTTTCTCTTCCTCTTCTTCTCTTGTCGAACTCTCTGCCTCCGGGCGGAGAGGAACCCAGACAAGGCTATGCCGAAGGGCAGAGTCTCGTTTGGGGAGATAGACAAATCCGAATCCGTGTATACGCGGTCTTTGGGCAATTTTTGCCTGAGCCTACGCACTAGGAACGCCTCACGTTAAAAACTGACCTTGTGCCACATTTTGTCTTGTGGGGAGGTTGGTAAATAGAAAGGAAAATAATATTTCTGAAAATAAATCCAATTTATCTTCAAGTTTCCTTAAAAGTAGATGTTCATCTATGAAACGCAGCATTGACACAGTCGTAGGGGAAGTGTAAAAATGTACTGTTAATTATATGTTATATATAATATAATATTTAATACTAATTTAATATTAAACTCGACCCAGCCATACGTGTAGAATTTTATTGTTTATTATATATAATATAATTTTTAAAGTAGACACAGTCATACGATAAGTGAGGAAATTTATGTTTTATTATATCCTGATTTGGTATCTCGACTTCATTCACTTTCTCGCCGACGTGGCGTGGCTTCCCTCTGTCTTTGTTACAAATATTTTCATGGCAACATCTGACGAGGGAAATAACTTTGGTGCCCCGAATGAATTTAAGCGTGCTACTAGATCAGTCCCACCTTTTTCTGTTGAAATATTTAAATGCAATCGCCCTTTCTACTTCAACAGTCTCTTTTCTCGCACTTCCCATCGATGAAACTCTCTTTCGTTTACTTGCTTCTCTGATAAATAGAATCTTCAAAAATTTAAATGCAACGTCAATCGCCATCTTCTGTCTTTCTGAACGCTGTTCCTTTATAGAGTTTCCTCATCTCTCCTCACTAAAGTCTTCTCATTCTCTTCCATTCCCTGTAAACCCCCACCAGAGTTCTAGTGACATTATCGTCTTTCTTGGAGTAAAATTTTCACTGAAGAAGAACAGGAAGTCACACAGATATGAATAAATTTAGATACATAAATTTTACTGTTGAATTGGGTAAATGTAACTGCCACTTCTACTCCAAAAGTTTCTTTTCTCACACTTCTTGCTTGTGGAACTCCCTTCCGTTTACTTGCTTCCCTAATAACTACAATCTTCAAAAATTTAAATGCAACATCAATCGCTTTCTTCTCTCTTCTTGAATCCTATTCTCGGTCCCCAACTATACTCAGTCTTTTCTCTCCCTTTCATTCTCTGTAACTTATTAATTTAAGCGCAGTACTAGATTGGCATCTAGGTCCCACCTTTTGACAGTTGAATTGGGTAAATGTAACTGCCACTTCTACCAGTTCTTTTCTCGCACTTCCCGCCATATTATCTTCCCGAATCCCGTTCATCTTTTGTTCTTTTTTCAATCCCCCTTATTTTCAGTCTTCTCTTTCACTTTCATCTCCTGTAACCCCCTGTGACCTAGTGGCATCCCCGCCTTGCTTGGGGTGAAAAGATTAAAACAAATATATATAAAATATTTATTATTAATTTAATATTTAAAGTAGACACAGTCATAAGATAAGTGAGGATATTTGTTTATGAGTTATTAATTTTAAAGTTTACGGTAGACGCTTTTAAATCCAATGCATAATCCAAAAATAATTTTACATATTTGAGGGTGGATTCCTAACATCAAAACAAGGTAAAATGCCCATATAAACATATGTCCAAAAGTTTATTGTTGTACCACAAAACAGTAACTCATGACAAATGTTAAAATGTCCCCCGCTGGCTTGTACACACATATACACCCGTCGGATCATTGACTGGTGGACCCTTTCAAATACTCCCATATAGTGTCGAATAGTTTCGCAGGCTCCCATGACACGTTGATGAAGCGTCTATGCATTATTAATGTCTGCTGCATAAACCAATTGTTTAAGGTGGGCTCACAGATAAAAATCTAAAGGAGGAACATGCAGTCCAAGGGACCGGTCTTCCTCTACCTATCCATCATCTCCTTCATGGTAGATGTCAGCCAGTGCATTGCGAACAATGTGACTAAAATTTGTTGGAGCCCCATCATGCATGAACCACATGTGTTTTCCTATTAGCAGGGGTACATCCTCTAGCAAGTCTGGAAATGTGTTCGAAATAAGGACCATGTAGACAGCTCCTGTAAGACGAGCTGGGAGAACATATGGGCCTATCAGACAGTAACCTATAATTACAGTCCACACCTTAATTGTAAACGGATGTTGGTGTTGAGCCTGTATTGTACCATAGGGATTCTGATCAGAGCACAAATGTTGGTTGTGTTAGTTTGTTATTCCATCTCTTCCAAATGTTGCCTCATCCGTAAACAAGTCTGAAAGGACAAAAAAACAGATGTGCAATAAACCATCGGCAAAAGTTCTCCAGTGGTGAGGGCGAATGACCCTGCATACGTTTCAAATGATACGGATGCAGGAACTGCTTTTGAAGTACCCTCTATGTGGTACTATGAGATGTACAACATGCTAGAGCCACTTGACGTGTACTGATACCTAGATCGTCTAGCGGGTCTGGAATGTTGAATTGGGTAAATGTAACTGCCAATTCTACTCCAACAGTTTCTTTTCTCGCACTTCTCGCATGTGGAGCTCCCTTCCGTTTGCTTGCTTCCCTAATAACTACAATCTTCAAAAATTTTTAATGCAACAT